GCACCCCGGGGTGGGGGTCAGGGTGGGGGGGACCCCGTGGCACCTTCCCCATGCCTGTCTCCACAGGACATGGAGGTGAGTCCCACCGAGCTCATGAACATCCTCAACAAAGTCGTCACCCGCCGTAAGTGTCCACCCAAAAACGGGGGTGGGGGTGGGGGCAACACAATGAGGGGGGGCAACACGTCTGGGGGGTCCTGGCACCCGCTGCCCATAAATCACCAGGGCTGGCAAGTGGCGAGCACAACCCTATAGCAGCCACAAGAGAATCCCCACACGGCCAGGGAAAAACCTCCAAAATGTTCCAGTTTTGGTTAAAATTTTGGGGAAGGAGGTGGGTCCCGCAGTTGTTCCACGCCGCCGCCAGGCCCGCAGGTACCGGGACCTCCCCTCCCCGGGGTGCCCCTGACCCTTCCTCCCCACAACGGCTGGGGCACCCCCCCAAAAATCATCTGCCCACTGCCCTCCCCCTCACCCCGTCCAGATCCCGACCTGAAGACGGATGGCTTTGGCCTTGACACCTGCCGCAGCATGGTGGCCGTGATGGACGTATCCTTTGGGGGTGGGAAGAGGGGGGGTATTTTTGGGGTTCAGGGAGGGGGGGTCCCCATTGCCACTGCAAATCTCCTTGACACCCCCCCCAGAGCGACACAACGGGGAAACTTGGCTTTGAGGAGTTCAAGTACCTGTGGAACAACATCAAGAAGTGGCAGGTGGGGAGGGGGGGCACCCCAAAATCGGGGGGACACCCCAAAATCTGGGAGACCACAAGGAACCCCAAATCTTTCCTCCAAAATGCGAGGGAGGGGCTACAGGGGATCTTCCTGAAGACCCCAAAATGATGGGGGGGTATATAGGGGTAATGGGGATCCCCCTGCCAAGTGGGACCCCTAAATCAGGGGCAGCGGAAAAAGGGCCCTCCTGGGACCCCAAAATTTTGGGAGGGGAGTATTGGGGAAAATGGGGTCCCCCCATCTCTGTAGGGACCCCCAAATCCTGGGGAGAGCATTGGGGGATCCCCAGGTCTGGGGGGGGGCATTGAAGCCCCACAAGTTTGGAATGAGGGGGTCACAAGGACCCCTGGAGGACACCAAAACTGGGGGGGGACACAGTATGGAGGCAATGGGGCTGCCCCCAATCCTGGGGCAGGGAAGGAATTGCGGGGGTGCATATTGGGGTACAGGGGGCCCACCCAACCCCCCCCATGCCCCCCCC